GATATTATCGCAAATGCGATATATCGTTCAGCCCTACTGCTGGTGCTAGCAATGCTGACATTAGCAATATTTCCAAATTAATCTGACACTGTGTGCGCAATGTTATGCACAGCGTTAGATTTTGTTTATTAAACAACCAAATTAACAGTTGTAAACAGCTCTTAATTACACAGAATAGCTCTCCTGACTTTACTGACAGCTTTCGTTTTCTTATGGTGTTTTTATTCTCGCCACGTGACCCACCGTGGGTGGCCCGGGACGACTTCTGACGTCACATCATGTAGCATGCACCACTGCTTTTGTGGCCATCTGACTTGCTGTGCACCTCTTAATTTTTAGAATCTGGCACATTGTGCCATTGTCGTCACAGCTGGGTTGAACACACAAGTGTACAATTGCATCTTTTTTTTTTCTTGTAAAAACACCATTTTAATGATATTCCAGTTCAGGTTACGGCGTAGGTCAAAGTGTAGTGTATTTCCAATCGAACCATTTTCTATGGTTAAATTCTGTAGCCCAGTAGGTCGTGAAAATGTAAAGCTATGCTGCCGAGGTCTAGGTGGAGCTCTTGCCTCCCCTCCAAAAAAAAGATACATGAAGTTGGCTATATTAGAGTTAACTGATAAAGCTTCGCTACCAAAGCAATGCATCACCATATACTGCAGTTGTAGACACAGCGCAAGGTACCACGCTTCTCACTAATATTTAAAACATTTGATTATCAAGGAATGTTATAGTCTCATGCAATTATTCCTTGTTACTACTAGTTTAAACTACTAGTAAATTATTGATCAGGAGATTTGAGCATTAAAAACAATAGCATGAGTAACACAAGCAACATACCTGTAAAGAATGTGTTCAAGATTTTTTTGGGTGGTGCTACGCAACAAAAAGAATATTTTTAAGGTGTCTGAGGTATAGCTGTGCTTCTGCTGACATGGCTTCTAATTTCATTTCTATTCAAACAGAGTTGGTAAAGTAGGCTGCTATCATTTCTGGCAGACTGTAATGTAATGTAATGTAATGTAACACACTATAGGCACAAATAATTGCATTATGTTAAAGTAACACTGTCTATGAATGTTACAGATGGGCAGAACTGACAGCGCCTGCAGCATAGCTCCCGTATTATTTTACTATTAGCCACTATGGCTGCCACAAACGATTATTTTGATAGTCGACTAGTCACCGATTATTTTTGCGATTAGTCGATTAATCAGATCATCATCCATTGGACGTAAAACGTACAGCTTATTGCACCAACATGCATCTGCTCTTATATAACTATCATTAGCTTACAGCT